CGCGACTGATAACACTAACCTTGATTACCTCGGATACCACAAAAACCTCATCCAATAATTGTTTATTAATGGTTTATTATGCAAATTTTTGATTCTAGCGCTCGCGTCTCTTGATAAGGGTCAAGGAGACGGCCCATATCTGAATCAGAAATTCAACCGTTCCTAATCTAGAAAAAGAAATAAAGCGTAAAGTACGCAGATAGGTTAAACTCCATGCCTTTTCTGGATGAGCCGCAAGGTGGGAGTATTTTCAAAGTTCTAGCTATGGTTAATTGTAGATTTTTATAAATCTCGACTTTTATCAAAAAAAGCTCTTCTCTAACACAGAGATCAACTTACAAGCGTTGAGCATCCCAGCCAATCCTACGAAATGCTTGCATTATAAAGTTCAACGCAAACATAACATTGAATTGAATTAAAAATAGGAAAAGAAGGAAAGAAGACGACACTTGAACAGTCACGAAAATCATACCGGATATAGTCTCCCTCGCAGCCGTTTTTAGTATCGTCACGCAACGCTCCTCTCCGAGGAGCGTTGCGTGACGATACTAAAAACGGCTGCGAGGGAGACTATACCGGATAGGGCTTCTGTTCACACATAAGAATGGTTGTCGCAGCGCGATTTCTGTGACGTAGCGAAGCTGTGCCGCTCTGATCTCGAGAGTGGAGCGTAACATATCGGATGGGTTTTGTCAAGAGACATGATATTATGATCTCTGGTTTTGTGCCATACTTTGGTGCAGGGTACAGTGTAAACACCCATTAGGCCCGTCGCGAAGTAAACCAGTAGGAGCAAGGCTTAGAACCCACGGTGAGGGAAGTAAATATTCCAACCTCGTCCCCAGGACGCATTTCCCTGGGGTGCCCCACCTCCAAAGCCAGGGAAAAGCGCCCTGGGGACGAGGTTGTAAATATTCGGGATTGAGGACTGGAATGTTGTGCTCCAACCTCTCTCGGCCAACCAAGCCGGCACGTTTTACGATGTATGTGAGCGACTTGTACCGTCCCGAGCCGTTCTATTTCGTGGCGCCACAAAAAACTATCCGTAACCCCACAAGTGTCGATCACTACTGTGCTTTCATTTCTTTTGGAAAAAACGGCCAACAACAGTGTTGTCAAAAGTTCCTTAACAGCAACTCCAAATTAGTTGGCGCTTGTTTAAGCGGTTAAATGGTTTTATTCCATTCATTTCTGGCGTTGATACATTTTTCGACTCATTATCGCTGATTCATTCCAGAATGAAAGTCATTCCGGTATCATGAATTGGGAATAGCCACTAACCTATCTCCGTCTCCGCGAATCACTTGTCTGATCATCATGTATCACAAGTTTTGTGTTGATTTCTACTCTGTTGTAAAATGAACAACGGAGTGGAAATCAACACAAAACGCGTAATCAATGTTCTAATGATTAACTCCTGTCTGGTAATACGTCTGAACAGAGACTTGGTGTATGTCACGTGACCTGATTCAATCATTCCCAAGTTCTTTTGAAATAGCCAGGTGTAGTAAAATAAGGGGTACAGCCCTCAATTCCTGCTATTTTTGGCAAAGAAAAAGTTTATCCTAGATTAAGTGAAAACTAAACAATAGCAAGGCAATCTGGGGTCAATTTAAAACAACTTTTATAGGTATACTGTTGTTTTCAGACTTTAAAGCAATGGCTACACTTGTATAAATTTTATAAATTCACCCCTGATGTGTATTCGCCCTTTGCATATCTCCCATAATATTCCTTGTTTGCCAAAATTTTGCATAAGCATTGTCTTCAATTTCTCTTGGGATGACCGTAATACCCAGAGGAAATTAAAGCAAAGGTTATCCAGAATTTTGAGGGTCACATAACTTGTGCAGTATTATGGGAGATTTGCAAATGGCGAATGTTTTCATAGCAACTACGGTCAAGCTCAGTGCTTCTATAACCTACTTCATAAACTGGATCTTCATTTACTCTTAAAGTATTTAGCGTACAGTTCAGAAACTGCACCAGTAAGGAGACCAATCAAAGTGGTACAGAAATTCATAATCCATGCAATCGTATCCCATGTTCCGTTAGCCAGTTGTGTGAGCTGGTGCCAAGTATACTCTGCAAAGACGGTGACGGTTGCTTTGTCCCAAGTCCATCGTGCTATCCACATGACCACTCGGCCATACACAGAACCTTGTCAAAGATCCACTCTGCCGTAATCTTAACTCCTGCAAACTTTACAGGTTATTTTCCCCATGTAGTAAATACTGTAGTTATCCTTGATGCTCTGTTTACTCCATTCCATGTCCAAGCTGCTATCAACCTTGTAAATCTGCGTAATTTGTTCCATGCCCGCTCCGTTAGTCTCAGTGGCCCGGTCTCAAAGGTTTGGTTGTTGTATTGAATTGACGGAGGTACAGTTTCTGGGTTCAAACAGTGGTTTGGGAGTCCTGATTCTAAAAATAGGAAATTTAAAAGTGAAGAGAAAGCCGGAGATTTAGGACATTTATCTTGATTGTTAAATGGCAAAAAGCCGAACACTCTCAGAAAATACACAGTAACAGGAGCACGTATTGTGGCTCTTTATTCAACACAAGGGGAACGTATCACCTGATCATCTTGGAGTGTACTGTAGAAATTTTGTTGTGCAGCGCCTTTGTTCTCACAAAGAACCAGTCTTAAGTCAAGTTTCAAAGGTTTGATTTACATCTTTATGCCGTAATCCTGTCCGGCAAAAGAGCAAAACACACATTTTAAGGTTCGAAGAAAAGAAGGGTTAAAAATTCCTTACTTCTCAACTAGATGACTGGGTTGAAGCTATAAACAGGAAAGAAAACAATATTTCAGGTTATCACAGGCCTCAAGGAGGAATCTTTACCTATCTCTGCCAGTTTCCAAGTCCGAAAACAGTTGCTCCATTGCCGAAGTCATCATAAAAGAAATCTGGTTTATCAGCCACGAAAGGGTCTGCCAGGAAAACATTTTGAATAGTTTTCAAAACTCACTAAAAACTTAGTTATCAATTATGATATAAAATCTTTTTTTAACAAAAAGGCCTTAAATTTAGTTAAAATGAATTGTTATTAAGATTTGTAGCTCTCGCTTTGAAGTTAAAAGCCGGTAATCTTGTTTCGGAATACACTACGTTGAAAGCGGAGCAACCATCGAAGCGCGAGCTAATGCAAAGTAAAATGCGCACGTGATTCGTGGTACTATGGATACCGATGATGTTTGAATTTTACAAAACAGGATTTAAACAAATTGGTGTAGTGCTAATTTTCAAAACAACGATTACTTATATGATAACTTTTTCCAGTAATAGGCACATAAAATTATCCACATTATATTGGATTGGATGAAAAATGAAATAGTTTGATTATAATAAAAGAACAATGCTGTAGTATGTCCAGGGAACAAATTTCGAAAAGGACAAATCGTTATCTCTTCCTATACCTATATCTTACCTTCACGCACTGCTTTAAGCGTAATCGAACGCACAAGGCAACCTGTTATCGCAGTAAGCACAAGTACAATCTTCATGATTACCACGAATTTTCTCCTTTTCACGCAAAAAGCACGTCTGTTTGTACCGAAGAGACGATTCAAGTGATTGTAAGACCTCACAATCAGTGTTTTACAAAGTTAGGTGCGCGCGGTTTATGAGCCCGCGAGTTCCATGTTCCACGTGTTGTTTTATTTCACTTTATAAGCATTTAGTTATATATCATTCGATACAAAAGCTCTTGTTATAGGTTTCTCAGTTTTTGCATGGCGCATGCGTTTCATGTAAATGATACTGATACAAACTTTAAAAGTCTGACTGCTCCTGTCCCACAAGGCTCTTGGCGTCAAGCTCAACATAGTACTCTCGGCTCCATACTGTGGCATCTCTGGTCCTCCTTCATCGCGAATAAATCTTTCGCCTTTTACTAAAGATTTCCGTGGAGGAAAACAACTGAAATGAGTCTGTAGACTAATTTTTTTCAATACCCCGCTTTGAGGCGGGGCCACGAGCAACGCACTAGAATCTCGCTATCACCGCCATACTTTACTGTTTGTAACCAACGGCGAAATGGACTATAACATGTTATAATAGAAGGGTGTCTAAGCCACAGCAACGAGAACGGCAAATAAACGAACATGTCGACAACTTTCCTTCATGCTCGATCTGGAATGCAACGACACATCTGAACAAGTTCTCAAGAACTCCTAAGCCGTGTTTCGTCGGTAAACAAATTACAATCTTTCTCACGTTAGTCTTTTTTTACTCTCTACAGTCGACTCCCGATAATTCCAACCTTCAAGGAAAATAGAAAAAGTTCGAGTTATCGGGAGTTCGAGTTGTCGAGGGTAAAATTACATAGAAAACTGACCTGAAGGGAAATGAAAATTGCCTCGAGTTAGCGGGAGGATCGAGTTATATAGAGGGTTCGAGTTACCGGGTGTCGACTGTATATTAAAAGCGGACACTTTTCCAAGACAGACTTCCCTCAGTAGTTTGGGCAGAAACTCCTACATTTCAGTATATTGCAAGGTACCCGAAAACTGGAACTAGCGAGCCATGTGATTCGTGCCTGCCATGGGAAAAGTAAAGTTTTCTCAGCGGGTTGGACCCTCGTCAAGTAACCATGGTAACCCTTCCCCGCCATATTTACTACCGACAATGAGCAAGACAGAACGTTACTGCTGTTGGCCAGTTTACCCCAAGAGAGCTTTATCCTCTGTTGTTTACCCAGAGTACCGCAAGGTTTTGCGAAACAGATACCTCAAACTGCCGCTTTGATATACGAGTCCTTCACTTATAAGCCCCCTATTCATAAAAAAGAAATGATTTTTTCAGCACTTCCCGCCAAAAAAAATTGCACGGTATTATTCATAAAGCGTACATGAGGCGATTGATTTATTCCAGCACGAGCGTAGACTGGTACCTAGTATAAATTCAACGGCGCGCGTTTTCAAAGCGAACCGTCCATGTTGTTGTTGGTCTTTGTTGTTCGACGGCTCTTTATAATCTTGTCGATTACGTCGCCAAAATGAGAAGAACAACTCTTGGAACTCTAAATATTGGAAACCAAGGTAGGCAAGTTGCCCGAGAAAAGAAAACTTCTCTTGGGGCGCGATCCTCAGTCGGAAATAGGACTTCTTTCGGGCGTCCTTCGTCGACCTCTGGGCGAAATTCTCTTGCGAACCCAAGATCCGCAACGGGCAGGTAAGCCAAGTGTGTTTTCAACTTTAGCCTTTTATATCTTGTTATTTTCCGTATTCTAAGATTTGTATTCGTGAGGAACTCTTCAAAGAGTGCTTCTGCATTTGGTCAGTGGTTAGCAATGATAATCTTCTCGTATTATATTGACTGTTTAACGAATCATTCTTGAAATCTTTCAGGAGGCCTTCCAGCCAGTATGGAAGAGAGAACTGTGTACAGATGAAAGATCCGAGACCGCTCTCTGACAGAGGTGAATGCATCTATTACTATTGTTGCTGTAGAAAATTCTTGAAATGGCGAAATTTGAAATGTTCAAGCTAGGCTAGGAACTTGAATTAGCAAATTGAATTAAGCTTAAGTATGGCTGGATTTTTTTCACCTCACAGGCTATCAGCAAAAGATGATTCGATATCTCATGGAGGTACGTTGTATAAGTCTATTTGTATTGGCTGTTGACAATCTTATTGGTTCGTGTTGTGGAAAAGGATACCAGGTTTTATAAGTTCCAATTATGTGGATTTAATTTATAACTAGAATGAACATTTATAGGACTTCACTTACTATTGTGATGGTCACTGATCCCATGCGGTTTCTTGGTTGATCAATGTGTCTATATTAAGACAGCCAATATTATCTTTACTTTTGTAGTTTCTAACAGAGTTCAACTATCCACATCAAATTTCCATGAGAATCCTAAGTGCACCCTCTATGAAAGAGTTCTGCAATATTTTCCAGGTGATTATGTAGACAGTCTACGTTGTACAGGTAGCTTGTCAAAAGGACAATGCAATCACTTCTTCTGTGTGTGATAAATTTTTAAATTAAATCTCTATAAAGTTTGAACAGATGTGAACAAAAAATTTACAGTGCATTGTGCAGTCTAAAAGGCTTTTTTTTATGTGATCCTTGCTGATCTGTCTGTCTTGATCCAGGGATCAAAAAAAGCCCTGTCCGGTCGTCAGGACAAGCAGATTTTCTACCGCCTGGGCAAGTAACTTTTAAACTCACTTGCCCAGTGGGCAATGGTCTAAGCAAGTGATCTTCTACCTAAATCATTAACTAAGAAGAGCAAGAAGTGGCCCTGGGCAAGCAAAATGCGAGAGCTGTTTGCCCAAAGGACAAGCTGGAATGAAGTTTTTTTCAAGCCCTGTTGATTGAGCCTTGATTACAAAGAGTGGTAAAATCGACAGCCATAAGCCAGGGATTTCCCTCAGCTACCATGAAAGTTGTTATCTGAGGTAAGATTTCTGTATAACCCCATACATTTATTATGCATGCAGCAATTTCATACTTTTTTGCACAAATTTTTTAATATAAATGGTAGAGTTGAAACTTGAATGCATAATAAATCAATGGGGTTATACAGAACTCTTACCATCTCTGATTGTTTAATTCCCACAGTCCACCTACTTGTTGCTTGTACCCAGCATCACAATGACTGCCCTGACATTGCATAACAGGATTCTTACTACTGATCTGTTTAATTAAATATGTGGGATTTGATTTTACTTGCATTATCAATAGTTTTTGTACAAGTACATCAAAGCAGACAGCCAGAAAGCTACAGTGCTGGATAAACCTGCAGAAGAAATCCCTAAGTTTTTCAAGATGATGGGGTATGTAGTTCTTGTCAAATAAAATAAATTTTCTAGTTCATTGTCACAAAATCTATTGAAGTCAGAATTTCGAAGCAATAATACCCTTCTCAATAATAATAGGTCTCTGAATAAAAAAGGCCATGGCGTTGCTTCATTTTTTATCCTGTTATGAGGTAACTTAGGAATGCTTTATCTTTGCATATTTTTAGGTATCCTTTTAGTATTTCAAAGAGTAATTTGCACTCAGTAGGCAGTCCACATGCATGGCCTATCATACTAGGAGCACTGTGCTGGCTTATTGAGCTAATCAGGGTATGTATACCATAATTACACTGGAAAACCAACACTTATGAGTTTTTCTCAGTTTTTTGGATTTGACATTGGTTACATGATAACTGTCTGTGAAATCAAGGTAAAAATGTTTTTACCTTGTACTGTAGATGTTTCATTATTCAAGATTTAGGGCCCTTGACAAAAACTGGATTTGTCAGAAAAGATCAACCCCTACCACCCTATATCATAGCAGCCTTCTGTATTTCAGTTGACTACAATGTTGATCTGATTTGGTTCAAACCAGCTGTTGTTGTTGTTGTAATTTTGAAGGCCAAGATTTGTCGTTTTAGAGGAAAATGAGAGAATTTATTTGTAATTTTCTAACAGGGGAGTCAAAAATTCTTCATTTAAAGAAGTGGGATCCAGTAAGAAAATTGTGAGCACTAATAAAGTACTAACACCAATAAAATCTTACAGCTTGCGATGAGTGTTGGTCAGGACATTCAGGGAAATCTTATGTTCCCGGAGGACACCTATGAAACAGGACAATACCAAGAGGATGGACCAAAACCTGAGGACAAGGTATATAATACAACTGTTTTAGTTGAAATTCTCTTTATAGAGACCCCTCTTGTCATCTTTAGACAATTTAAAACCTTGAATTGCAATAATTTTACTCCGTCTTCAATGTTCTCTTTCCAAAAAAGGGTGGCCCACAAAACGAAAAGCTTTGTATACATATATATTCATTCATTTCTGTGTGAGAATCAGATTGGATAACAACTTGTGTATTTTTAAAACTTTTATGTGACTTTTAATTTATTTTAATAACCTTCAAGGAGGGTAAGAAGTGTTGCTTCAGGCGGTAAATTTTACTGGTTACCTCCTAATAAGAAGAACAATGCAGATAGCCCTTACTCTTAACTTGGGAATCCAGGCTAGGGTACCCAGGATATGATTTCTATGCAAGAACTGAGATTTCCTAGTAAAACCCGAAAGCACTTTAGTAGGCTGCCAGAGTCCTCCAGACCCTGCTAGAGTACATCCCTATATACACACTGGCCGTCAACAAAATGATACTTGTATCACTAATACACACCCTTACCACTTAAGCATCAGAGAACGAGGCCTAAGGGCCACCAGATTTCCCGCAAACTTCCAAAAAAAGTGAATAGGGTGGCCAAAACAAGAAAAAGTTGTGATTTAGAGATTAAAAATTAACCCAAAGAGATAATTCCTGGAGCAGTTATGGTAAATGAATGTGCATTGGAAAGTGGACAGTGGAAAAACTCACCTTTGGCAAGGATCCTCATTGGAAACACATAGAAAGTCAAGTCTTTCCTATTGTAGGAACAATTACAGATGTATCAGAAAGCACAGCATTTGAGAACTATTTTTTTTTGTAGTTGTAGGGCGCACTGCTGCCACTTTTTACAATTTAATTGCAAGGTGGCCCTAAGCTTCGATTTCATGCTTATGTCATAAGTGTGTTTAAAGATGAATTGATATTCTTATGTAAGACTTCAAAAAAGGTAAGGTTTTAGTTTCTCAGAGAGGCACTGATCAACCGAGCGCCTTTGACAGGCTTGTACATCTTTCAATTTTCACAGATTGGCAGGCTTGTACATCTTTCAGTGTCACAGAGAGGCACTGATCAACAGATTCCCCTTTGATCTCTCTGTGGAGCTCCTTTCAGCTCCCAGAATTGTTGCACCTTCAACTCTGAAATATAAGATTTAATGCCTGTTAGGGACTATTCACATGATATTAGCTGGCATGACTTTTATTCTGAAATGAGTTCATTCCATCTTCATTTATTTTTTTGTATTTGTTTACATGATACTGAAGCGTCATTTAGTTCCTGTTCAGTTTATTCTGGTTTTCAGTCGGAATAGAACTCTCATTCTGGTGTGAAGTTTCCTTCTGGTATCATGTAAACTGAAAACAAATTTCTTTCTGGATTGAAAATTGCAAATCGTAAGTTGGTCACAAGTGGAGCATATTTTGATTGGCATGAAAACCACTTGGGGAGAACGTCTAAGGCTGAGCCAGACAATTTTATCATATGAATGAAGTACAAACTTCACTCTGGAATGAAAGTCATTTTGGTATCATGAAAACAGTCTTTTAGGGCCGGGGAAAATTGGTGCCATTTCTTTTACTTTTTCTCAAGTCTATTAATTTATTTGTTTTCTTTTTCAGTACTTTTTCAGTTATCTTGAGAAAAGTTATGCAGCTTTCATGATGGGTCAAGAACTTGATGAACTTGGGGAGTATGACCAAGAGTTCATAGAAAACATCAGTAAGTGTTTTTAAAAAATACTTTTGCCACACTTTTATCTGATTGCTTAAAGTACAGATGTATCATAATTTCTAGCTTCACTTAATTACATGTTTGAAAGAAGGAGTGAATTGTAAATACATGTAAGCCCCTCAGGTGATATTTAGCAGTTATTCCTCGAGCCCAAATGAGCTCTGAGTCAATAGCCCATGAGGCCGAAGGCCGAATGGGCTATTGACTCAGAGGCCATGAGGGCGAGAGGAATAATAACTGTTTTAGTAAAATCCAACTAGTTGGTCAAAAATACCGAGAATAAAAAAATTTTAGCTAGTTAAAGCTAGACTTTGATCCTTTTTTGCCTCCAAAAAGCCCGAGCTTTTTGCTACTAGGGGGCTATGCCTATAACATATAGCCTAGTAGTAGCTGTACCAATCAGAACACAGCATTGATAATAGGCACTAGTTGGATTTTACTAATAGTTAATAGTCATATCTTCTACAATAAAATTACTGTAATTTTAACTGTATGAGGCTACGTTCACACTGCACTGTTCATTTTTTTTTTTTGCTCTGTTTGGACAGTCACGAACTTTGAAAGGCTAGGTGTCGAAATTTTTCTTCTGTTTTAACGTGGTTCTGTGTGAATAAAGTTTTAACTGGTCGAAAATTTTTCCAGTGTTGTGTGATAGCCTAAGGGTAAGATACATTGGGGTCAAATATTTTCTTAAGATACTAAAGGCATGCCCAAAAAAATTGCAAATAGTAAACACCAGGTCTGTAGTGTGAGAGACTGTGATTCAGTTTGACATTCAAGAAACACATTTGTGATATGCCATTAACTATTATTATTTTGGTTTACTTTTCTTAACAGGATTAAGGAACGCTGATGCACTTGATGGTATTAAACTTTATGTATAATTGTTAAATAATTGGGCAGTGGTGAGGTGCAGCTTTGACTGTTCACAACCTTTTGATATCTCTATGCAAACTGAGAGGAATGTAGAAAACGGTGCTCCCATTAGAAAGTTTGTTTTATGAGTCAATTTCATGAGTTGTGAGTCAAGTTATGAGTCAGGTTAGGGTTTAGGATTTGGACTGATCTTTTTAGATAAAAAGCGACAAAGTTACGAAAAAAAATAAGAAAAAAATTGTGCGTATGCGTAATAAGAATAATCAGTCCTTAACATTCTCTCATAAGGTAATAACAAGTTTTCTTGTTAGAAACTATTTTTATACTGTGAGATACATGACTCATTTACATGTAACTCTCTGCTCGCAGCCTTTTGCTCTCAACCTTGTTATGCATGTCCAGTTTAATTATGTGCCATTTGATTAAAAAAAAAACAGGAAATAGAAGGTTGTTAACAGTGCAGCAGTGAGCGCTATTAAATTACGGGTGATTTGACTATTATAATTTGGTAACCTTCCTGATCGACAGACAGCCCAAGCCTGAGTTTAATAATGATTTGTAATAGTAAAATTTGTAATTATTTTTCTGTCATATGGGAAGACTGGGACTTACATGCAAAATTCAGGACTAGGTTGCAAAATCTGATATGCCCAGATTGATTAGCCGGTTAAAAAAATTATTGCCTGAACATTCAAAATATTTCTCAGTTTTCGATTGGCTATAATCCCACCTCTAATTCTTCATAAACAGGTAGCATGGATGAAATTTGGAAGATGTTTGCAAAATGACATCTAGTTCAGTGGAATCTGGATAATGTGTTCACCAAGGAGACATGCCATAGAGTGTCTGTGTAATCTGGGTGTTCATATAAATATTATCACAGACACATGACTTCGTTTTATCAGGAGACATTCTTACAATACATGTACAAGAAATATTGTTTAATGTCTTAGTAGTAACTGTAACTGGTTCATCATAAACAAACCTCAGAATGATTCACCATAGTCTCAGACAAAAACTCCCTTTCAAGTATATTTTGTATTGAAATAAAACAATCAGGAATCTGTAACTTTGCCTTCTACTGACACTTTGAGTTTGTGACTCAACCGGGTGGACTGAACATTAGACAGAACTTTGGAAAGTTCATTCGCTGTATCTGGAAGGTTTTCATACTAGTTAAAATATTCAGTCGTAGACAGTGCACAGATAAAAAGTGTCCATAAAGCGAGGTTGATAGAAATTAATGTGGGAAAATTTGTGTCTCAGGACACGAAAAGTGTCTGTTGCCTGTATTTGCCACGGTATTTTTAGAGAAAATATATGAGCTTTTCGTTGAGACAAGCAAAACTGTCCATTATAAATGGGTGCCCATATTAAGTGGATATCTCTAGAGCAGGGTTCCACTGTTAAGGGAAATACCAGAAAAAAAAGATTCTTTTTTTCTTTTAGGAATGGAAGAATTAATGAAAGAAAAACTTTCATTGGAAGAAGAATTGAATGCTTTGAAAAGTGATTCTGTAAGTACAAAGTTTGTCCTAGTCTCATGAGCAAAGCTTTGTGAATTGGTCCTTTCCAAATTGCTTTCAGCCCCCCCGGGGGGGGGAGAGTCCTCCCTCATGTGAGCCATATAGGAAGGTGCCTCCCCTAAGGGTATGGTTTTGTGCTGTTTTGGTCTGGAATCAGGTCTGGTTTTTGGGGAGCTACAGGAGTGTATGAATGTATTTGTTATTTCAATTCCAAATGAACAGAAAAAGAAAGAGTAATAAGCGATTTCAACATGGATTTTAAGAAACGTTTTGTTGGCGTTATAATCAAATTAACGATGACATAATTTCTGCCTATGCCAGGTCTGAATGAAAACGGGTGTGGAAAATGGCCTATATTGGTCTGAAATAGGGCGGGTCAGGATTTGGAGGGCCGGGTTTTAAAGCAAGGCTAGGTGCGAAGCCATTGAAATGGGAATGATTTTTTAATCTCATTAAAAAAAACTCACTTTCATAACAAAGGTTTTGCACTTAGCCTGGTTTTGAAAGTGAGTGACTTGGAACTCAGAAATGGCGGGCCCATTTTTGTTTAAATGTAGACCTCACTGAAGAAGTGTAATATGATTGTTTTCTTTCAGTCGCGTCTGCAAACACTGTCTGACAGAAAGGCAACATTAGTCTCTGACAGGTAAGAAACCTGGATTAGGCAAGCAACAGGGATCCTAATATTTTAACTAAATTGGGCATAGCATCCCTTATGTTAGGCTGGTTTTCACTAGCGACGGAGGCGGAGTCGCAATCGTAAGCGGAGTCGGGAGAGCGCTCATGACCTTTTAAGAATCAGAACTCATAGTCGTAAGCAGATTCATAAGCGCGACGGAGTGGGAGTCGAAAGATTCAGAACGTTTCCATTTTTTTCCGACTCTGTTCATGACCCTTTCGTTTACGATCTGGTGAAAACCAGATTGTTGGAGTCGGAAGCAGAAGCGGAAGAATAAACCAATCACAATCCACGTTCTGGGTTCACTCGCTTAAATGTGATTGGTTTAGTTGTTCCGCTTCTGCTTACGACTCCGACGACGTAGTTTTCACTAAATGGTAAACAACGGAGTCGTAAGCGGAATCAGGACGCTGTTGTCATTAGACCGTAAAGTCTAACGCTTCCGACTCTGACTCCGCCACTAGTGAAACCAGCCTTTACAGAGCATGCCCTGTATGATACAGTGACATGGAATGCCCCCGTTTTCGCCCGTCCACACGTAAACGAGAAGCCGATGCTTTAAAAAAAGTACTCCCCTCTGGGGATTTTTTTTTGTATTAAAGCCAGCATTTTTGGTGCCCGGAAACGCCGTTTACGCGTGGACGGAAGGCTTAAACGGAGAAAATATCTCCGTGGGGAAGAGGCCCCAAAGAAATGTTGGTATTTTTCTTGCAGAGAAAAGTTTGTAAACTACATCGGAGACTTGGGGAAACATAAGAAACAACTGGATGATGTTAATAATCAACAGATGGAGGAATTACAAGTACTAAGTAAGACCAAGATGGAGATTATAACTGAAAACAACTTTTAGTTTCCAACTTTCTTCTATCGACCACGTAGAAAATAAAGCTACGGTAAAACGAGCTGGAAAACGTACAAATTGTTTTGCGACATTGCTGCAAAACGCCTTTTTACCACCCACGTTCAAACCTGTCTTGCAACAAATCAGGTTGTCGGTGCGAAAAGTACCAAAAGGTAGAGAAGTTTACTTTTTGCAACAAAATCTCTACATGTTGCACATTTTACCGGCCCAACAGAAACTCTTTTTCCATCTAAGCTTGTACACGCGAGGAAAAAACATATTCTAACTGGGTGCAAACGTGTCATGTTTTGCCGCCAAACATTCGAAGTTTGGAGTACGTGGCTGTTGTTAGTCTCCCTCGCAGCCGTTTTTTTGGATGTCACGCAACGCTCCCCCATAACATCCAAAAAACGGCTGCGAGAGAGACTAGGCTGTTGTCGACTTGATTCGTTTTCGCTCAACAAAATATTCTTGGCGAGAATTTTTAGACGTTAAGAATAATTTCTGGTGGCAAGTGTGCTGTTTCTGAGCGAGAAATATGCCAGAAAGTTAAGAAAAATGAGATATGGGCGGAACGCGTTGATCAAAAACATATAAACAACTAAGCTTTGGCGCGACAGTTGCTTTAACGGCTGTCAAACTTCAAATGTTTGGCGGCAAAACACCTCATGTCTGGCACCCTATTAGAACATGTTTTTTTGTCTCGTGTCCACGCTTAGATGCAACCGACGGTAGTACCAGTTTTATAGTAGCACAAGAACAACATTTTAGCTACATTAGTTACATTTTATCTATATAGGAGGCTCCATTGATACCAGTACAGTAAAAACCCGCGTATAAGAACCTAACATTTAAGAACCTGTTAGGCTAAAATTTCATTTTAAGCACCCTTCACATAAGAACCATTTTAGGCTAAAATCCTAAAACAGGTTCTTATTTTCAAAAAAAAAAAAAAGAAAAAAAATATATATATATATATAAGACATTAAACACCAGATCATTTAAAAATTCAGCTTTATTTCTTGAACAAAAGTTAAGAACCTAATTAAGAACCTAGTTAGCCTAATTTTACACTAAATACAATTTATAAAAGAACCTGTTTAGGCTACCTTGGAAAAACCTAGGTTCTTATACGCGGGTTTTTACTGTATTTAAAAAGGTTCGTTTAACTTTTCGTGTATTGGGAATTACTTGTTGCGTATATTAAAGCATCCACTCGCGGGACATTTTTTCTTTTTGCAAAAAGTAAAACTGGGCTGGCCCTCTACTCTCAATATAATGAGCATTGTATCTTAAAAGTACACATTATTATTTAATGCTGATTTGCGGTATCCATTATTTTACAGAGGTGGAACAAGACGCTGCGATGGAGGAAAATTCAAAGCTACAGGTGAAAGTTGTACAATTATTTTTAAGTCATCGAAAAAGATGGAAAAGTTTCCCTTCAGAAGTTATTTCTTTTCTTTAGTAATATTAACCAGTGATATTGTGTTACCAAAATTAGCACATGAACAACGGCTTTTGAGCGGCAAAAAGACCTTGTTCCGAGAGCCAAATTAATGGAAACGAGGGGAAGGTCACTGAAAAATGAAAATTGCAATATCGCAGAATGTTAAGTTTGTTCAAACTGAGAGTCAATGTTATTACCTGTCGGAAATGTTTAGACTTTGTGACTCAGTGTCCGAGTAAAACCAAACTCGGGGCTACGGATATAAAAAAAACTGTCCTAGACGTAGAATTTATAAAAACTAGAGCAGATTTTTCGGGATTCATCATTTTGGTACTCCGGAATTGGTTTCCCGGCGTTCCCCGAAGATGTGTAAATCGGAAACAGAAACGTCCCGGTTTGGTCGCGTCCTCTGCCGGAGATTTTGAATCCGGAATCTAAAATAAATACTTGGTATCCGAATGAATGTTCTCGGATTAACTGATGAGTGTAAAGACCTGTGAATCTTTAGCCTGCGTAGCAGGCGCTGGTTTACTCCACGCGAGGGGAACACGCAAAGGAGAGAGAAGGCAGCTCTCCTTTAATAATCTCCTGTCCTCCTTTCTCCCTCTTGCGCGAGATTGTCCTCGAGATTTCTCAGTTCGCCCCGAAAACAATAGGTGCCGGCTAGGCAGGGCTAGCGAATTTGAATCCTTTAAAATGAAATGAATCTCCCCTGCTGCCAGTTTCGTACAGGTCATGGAAAACTTGGAAAGTCGTGGAATTGAAGAATTTCATTTTCAAGGCCTGGAAAGTCATGGAATTTAATTGTCGGTCTTTGAAAATCATGGAAAATTATAGTTTTGTTTGGTAGATTAGTTACTGCAGATGACAAAGCAAGGGTGAGGTAAGATAAAGAGGAGAAATTAAAGAGCGCGAACGGCACGCATTTTGGTAGATACCAGAGTTTGTTTTTGTTGAACTGTTTAAGGTAAAAGAAATATGGTAAAACAAGTGAAGTTTTAAATTTTTCAAAAAAGACAGCTAAAGCACAGGTTATGGAAAACTGGAAAAGGTCATCGAAAAAGTCATGGAATTTGAAGAACTCAAGAGTACGAACCCTACCCTGGTTTAAACCTAGCGTTAAGAACGGACTCGCAAGTCGACCAATGGATCTCACTAGTTCCAGCTGACATCCGGTAAACAAAATGTTGATAAACATTTATTATTTATTTTCCAGGAAACTCTTAACAACCAGGAGTTAAGTGCGGCTGATGTGGAGAGAATGAAGCTGGAGAAAAAGGAATTACAAAAAGCTGTAGAACAACTGGGAAAAAGTCGTGATTATTTCGATCAACAAATCTGGGAAAAGGAGATGCAGTACGCCAAGAAATACGAAGAGGTAGGAGAAATACACAAGTCATAAAGTATTGGATCTTAATTTTTTTGTTTCAAATCGGTGGTTGTAACTTTTGTTGGAATTGTGGGTTGAATTTGTTTCCATTCCATTTTGCGTCACAGTTTTGGTTCGGTCAAAATTTTTCATAATCTGTGGAAAGCCGGTCGGACATGCATTGCCCTCTGTTTCGTATAAAAAGTGGGTCGGTCGGACGGTCGGGCAGAAATTCGAAAGTAGAAGGGGCAGTGATTATGTTACAAATACTTATGGTCAGTCCTGGAACTCACCTTTTGAAAAATCACGAGTCCCTGGTCATAACCAATGAGTCCCAGTTCAAAAAAGGAGTCCTGAATTGAAAATGCTTGGGCCTTTATGGAGAACTGAAAAAAATGTGCATCTTTTGGACAACAGCCACAAATCACATGAACATGATATTCGACCAAAAAATCTTCATATCGATCGATTGTTCTTTGGATCCTACGGGAGGCATGCCACAAATTATTTTGCGTCTTTGGGGATTTTTGTGCGTCAGGAACGCAGGACGCAGAGGCAACAAAATCACTTAAGAATCATTAGCTAGGCGAGGAATCACGCTCACGTTGCTTAGACTCCTTTGATTAAACTCAGACACAGAGATAAGCGTGAGGGAGGGGAGGTACCTGAGGGGCCAGTGGAGCCAAGGATAGTCTTGCTCTTGGTGAGTGGAGCGGCTGTTTTCTCAGGCTAGTCATTTATATATAAAGAAGTTTTTAAAACAACAACAACAACTTGAAGTAACATACAGAAAAAGTGCCAAATGAAGGGTGATCAGCCAAACAGAGAATGAGAATTTATAACGGATTTTATCTTTAGTACGTATCTTTAATAAACATAATTAAAACTACTAGTTAAGGGTTTTTACTCTACATTATCAAACAATTTTTGTTGCTTTCTCACTTTCAGACTGAGAAACATATTCAGGAATACAATAAAATGGCCAGGAAACTGAAGCTTATTCCCTCCACAGCTGAACATGCAAATGGCATCGATTTTGAGATGCATTTTAATCCACACACACAAAGACCGGATCAGCGAACCCACGTGGACTTTAAAGGAACAATTAAGGTATTGTCTGTCCTTACTGAGATTGAGAGTTGTCCACTCATTCGGTTCTTTTTTTTGTCACTGCTGCTGGGCTCGAGAAACGCTCGAATTCCAGTTGTTTCTTGCACAAGCAGTTCTCTCATTTTGTTTGTCCAGGGCCATTGCTTGAATGTCTTATTTTTAATAAAGCGTTTTAATTACAAGATGGCTGACTTAGGACAAGTGAGCTCGTTATACAGCTTCTTGCCTAGCCTGGGGCCAGGTACCGTAATGGGTGAAAATGGCAAAAAATCGAGGTGTAAAAGCAAAACAAAAGGCGAGTGAACCGATCCGAGGGGTGTAATGAGCCCTTTCCTATCCCAGACTCCCAGTTGCCTTTTTTCCCGCCACTGCCAAGCCTGATCTTTGGCTACTTCTTGCCCAGCAAGAAAATTAATTTTTCCCGAACGATCGCGTCTTGATTCGAGCCCTGTTCGTGTGTTTTTTGGAACGAGGGAATGCTTAAAACTAATCCCACGTCAGATAAAATCAATTCGTGTTCTTTGAAACTTCAGTTAATTGCAACAGCGTTTGTCAATTGTAGACGTTGTTCATTAACATGATACTGGAAATTTCACGTCTTAGCCAAAGAAATACACGCAAACAGTGCTATGCAGATACAGAGTTTTTGTTTTGTTTTCGTAGGACCAAACTTTCCGGAAACGTTTTTGACAAGAGCAAATGGATAACAAAAATGGTCACAAATCTTTGGAAATGATTTCGGAAGCGTTCAGGCAAACCATTGTACTGAGAATTCTTCTGTATATTACAAGTCGAAGAAATTTTTTAAAATTTTGGTAAGCCTGTGGGGTAAAACTTTTTTCTTTTGTTTTCGTAAGTTTCAGAAAACCGAGAAAACAATTATTTCATTCGCTTCCTGGAATTTCGGAACAATACTGAAAGCTGTTGTTGCTCTCGTCGTCATTGAACCGACTATTTTAAAAAGTTTGCATACCTTGTTCGTGCTATGCAACGCGCCACCGTCAGTTCTGTTAAAGAGCTGTTTTTATTCGAAAACTTTGGCTATTTGTGTGTTATTTCTATCAGTCATTAAGACGCATGCAGTCTACACGCATTAAAACGTACTGAGAAAGTTTGTTATTTTTCTACAGCCTGCGTTGCTTCGCCTTAAGCAACAAATGAGTGAAAAAAGTCGTACTATCCAGTCTCAAATCATCACTGAGGAGGAAGCAGTTGACCAGGTAAAAATACAGCTATTCCTTTTCTTAAACAAAAAGGAAAATGAATGTATAATTGACAAAGTAATCGTTAAAAAGTCGAATAAGGGTAAAACTTATTGTCACCGATTGAAGTAGAATTGAGTTCTGCGCGCCTCCTGAGGGTATAGACTCATAACAATTCGCTAATATACTAACTGTAGTTGTGCTTATTCTGTTTTACTCCAAAGAACCCATTGAATCTTTTTGTATAATTGATGGAATTTTCCAATTGAACATGGAATTATTTCGAGCAATACAGATATTTTGGTGTCTAATTTATTGAGGCGAAGAGGCCGAAATTGCCAACACTACTGAAACTCTAAATTAAATGTTTTTTTTTTTTTCAGATAAGTGACATGGTGTTAGAGAAAAAGGAAGAAGTAACAGCGCTAGAGATGAGGTTGCAAGCGTTGGATAAGGATTTGGATTGGAAGAAAGAGGTAACGGTTTTTTTGCAATAAAGAGTTACAGTGGAACCTCTCTTTTGGGGTACCGCTATTCAAGGGACACCTCCATTCAGGGGGCACAAAATTTGGTCCCGGGGAAAATCTTCAGATAATCTTTGTTTTTGTTATCTCTATTGAAGGGACACCTCTATCCAAGGAGAGAGGCACTTTTTTTGGGTCACGAAACCCGGATTTAAACTCTATTCAGGGGACACCTTAGCCCTCAAAAAGTGACTGACCACAAAAGATCGTTATAACATCGATAAGTTGATCATGATTTTTTATACATTATCTAGCTTCTTGAAATAATGACTGCAGCAGATTCTAAGGCGGAATAATGGGAGAGCATTTTATTTTTTAGTTTTAACTTATCCTATTATTCCGCCTTGGAATCTGCTGCAGTCATTATTAAAATTATTAACAAACCCCAACCCAACCTCCATTCAGGTGACACTTACCTTGGTCACGAGGGTGTCCCCTGAATAGAGGTTCCACTGTATAACGAAGTCCTTGGTAAAACGAACAATTTTCTTTACCCCTTAATAGTAAAATATATGGAAAGAACCTCGATATAACGAAGCCTCTTTATAGCGAACATATTTTCAGTCCCTTGGCACTTCGTTATACTGAGGTTCCACTGTGTGAGCAAACAAAAAAAGCACAAAAAGAAAAAAAAGGAAAAGGATACTGAACACAATCTACAGAAGGTAATTTGTTTTTTGGTTTAGATCATGGCAAAGGAGTATCAGAAATCCACAGGCAACGCCCAGAGTCTGGAGGAAGGCGTTCAACAAATGCGAAGCGAATTACGGGGAAAAGAAGAGGAAGAAAGGGTTTTTACTCTACATTATCAAAACAATTTTTGTTGCTTTCTCATTTTAAGACTGAGAAACATATTCATGAATACAATAAAATGGCCAGGAAACTGAAGCTTATTCCCTCCACAGCTGAACATGCAAATGGAATCGATTTTGAGATGCATTTTAATCCACACACACAAAGACCAGATCAGCGGACCCACGTGGACTTTAAAGGAACAATTAAGGTATTGTCTGTCCTTTTTGAGATTGAGAGTTGTCTACTCATTCGGTTCTTTTTTTTGTTACTGCTGCTGGGCTCGAGAAACGCTCGAATTCCAGTTGTTTCTTGCACAAGCAGTTCTCACATTTTGTTTGTCCAGGGCCATTGCTTGAATGTCTTAGTTTATGATTTAAAGCGCTTTAATTACAAGATGACTGACTTAGGACAAGTGAGTTCGTTATACAGCTTCTTGCCTAGCCTGGGACCAGGTACCGTAATGGGTGAAAATGGCAAAAAACGGGGTGTAAAAGCAAAACAAAAGGCGAGCGAACCGATCCGAGGGGTGTAATGAGCCCTTTCCCATCCCAGACTCCCAGTTACCTTTTTGTTTTCGTAAGTTTCAGAAAACCGTGAAAACAATTATTTCATTCGCTTCCTGGAATTTCGGAACAATACTGAAAGCTGTTGTTGCTCGTCGTCATTGAACCGACTATTTTAAAAAGTTTGCATACCTTGTTCGTGCTATGCAACGCGCCACCGTCAGTTCTGTTAAAGAGCTGTTTTCATTCGAAAACTTTTGCTATTTGTGTGTTATTCTATCAGTCATTAAGACGCATGCAGTCTACACGCATTAAAACGTACTGAGAAAGTTTCTTATTTCTCTACAGCCTGCGTTGCTTCGCCTTAAGCAACAAATGAGTGAAAAAGGTCGTACTATCCAGTCTCAAATCATCACTGAGGAGGAAGCAGTTGACCAGGTAAAAATACAGCTATTCCTTTTCTTAAACAAAAAGGAAAATGAATGTATAATTGACAAAAAAAAACGTTAAAAAGTCGAATAAGGGTAAAACTTATTGTCACCGATTGAAGTAGAAATGAGTTCTGCGCGCCTCCTGAGGGTATAGACGTATAACGATTCGCTAATATACTAACTGTAGTTGTGCTTGTTCTTTTTTGCTCCAAAGAACCCATTGAATCTTTTTGTATAATTGATGGCATTTTCCAAATGAACATGGAATTATTTCGAACAATACAGATATTTTGGTGTCTAATTTATTGAGGCGAAGAGGCCAAAATTGCCAACACTACTGAAACTCTAAATTACATTTTTTTTTTTTTTGTCAGATAAGTGACATGGTGTTAGAGAAGAAGGAAGAAGTAACAGCACTAGAGATGAGGTTGCAAGCGTTGGATAAGGATTTGGATTGGAAGAAAGAGGTAACGGGTTTTTTTGTAATTAAGGTTTACACAAATACAGTGGAACCCGTATATGACGAACCTCTGTACAGTGTAACCTCTCTTTTGGGGTACCGCTATTCAAGTGACACCTCCATTCACGGGGGCACAAAATTTGGTCCCGGAGAATGTTCAGATAATCTTTGTATATGTTATGGCTCTATGGAAGGGACACCTCTATTCAGGGAAAGAGGCACTTTTTCTGGGTCCCGAAACCTGGATTTAACCTCCATTCAGGGGGCACCGTAGCCCTCAAAAAGTGACTTACCACAAAAGATCGTTATAACATCGACAGGTTGATCATGATTTTTTATACATTATCTACCTGCTTGAAATAGTGACTGCAGCAGATTCCAAGGCAGAATAAAAGGAAAATATTTTATTTATTGTTTAATTGTTAACAAACCCCAGCCCATCCTCCATTCAGGAGACATCTCTATTCAGGTGACACTTACCTTGGTCCTGTGGGTGTCCGCTGAATTATAGAGGTTCCACTGTATAACGAAGTCCTTGGTATAACGAACGATCTTCCTTACCCCTTAACAGTAAAATATATGGAAAAAAAACTCGATATAACGGAACCTCTTTCCAGCGAACATATGAGTCCTTTGGCACTTCGTTATACTGAGGTTCCACTGTATGCGCAAACAAAAAAGAGCAAAAGGAAAAAAAATGAAAAGGATACTGAACACAATCTGCAGAAGGTAATTTGTTTTTTGGTTTAGATCATGGCAAAGGAGTATCAGAAATCCACAGGCAACGCCCAGAGTCTGGAGGAAGGCGTTCAACAAATGCGAAGCGAATTACGGGGAAAAGAAGAGGAAGTAGAGGAACAGGAGAAAAAACTCAAGGAGCTTAATTTAAGGTAAAAGTCAAACGCGAAACGTCACCAGCAACAGGGAGCGATGAGATGCGGCTGTATCCGCAGGCAACAAACGTTGGGGGCTCAGCCCAAGCTTAGTAGAATACCGAAATACATGTTCTTTCTTAGCACTAAAGCAAAGAATCGTTAAGGCATGGGTATCCTATTAATTAGCCCCAATTTTGTTCACTTATTCTGCTTTGCGCGCTTTCGTGTTTGTTTGTTTTTTTAACAGAAAATCTACAATAGTTAGTAGGAGATTTAGAGTCACGGTTACAGCAAACGGCAGAGTCAAGTTGAGACTTCTTGAATAGAAAATGAGCTGATAAAAATAGTCCGGAACAATTCTTATAATATGGATGAAAATAATATGTAACTAATATTTTTCTGTAGAAGTGAAGAACAGAGGGAAAACTTGGTCACTTGGTACAAATTCACATTTGCCGAAAACGTGGTTGTAATTGTCTGCCTTCTTTACGTTAAATGGTTCTTAAAAGCAATGGAATGATAACGCGTTGGGCTGAATCAGTAACCTTATGCCATATACGATCTTTTCTTTTTGCAGGACTGAAGAAAGTAGAATTTCCCGCGAGCAAGAAAAAGAAGAGTACTCTAATTTTGTCCTGAAGGCCTGTCAGATGATAAAAGAACACAAAACTGCCATACATGTAAGAGACGTAGAATAGATTTTTTTAACGGAGCGTGGGATATTTTTAGATAATAGTTTTTCAACACAAACTATCACTGCTCCGATAGTCATAAGAGAGGTTAAGAATCACGTTTACGTCAAACGGCAAACGCGAAATTGGACCACGTGACCAAGTTTCCTCTTTACTTGTCTTTTACGGTTCATTAGCTCTACACCTAAATTAGTAGTTTCACGCAATTTTTTATCCATTAGAATTGTTTTCAGCTGTTTTTGTCTGCTCATTTTCTATTTTGAGAAATTCTCAACTCGAATCTGACGTTTGCCTTTCGCCGTATACGTAAAGCTTAAACTCTCTGTTAGCTGATTAATGACTATATGCGGAAAGCTCATAAATTTAAAAGTATCCCGCACACTCCAGTTGTATAGTATTCAATTCAGCAGTTGCTCCCTAGCGGGATACAATGGGTGGGTTATGAAAACGAAGTCTAACTTAGAACGCGGTTTAGGAAATCTTTGGACCTGCATAAGACAAATGCTTTTCTAGTCTACGCCATGTGCTTTCATGATACTGTTCACAATAAATGGTGCTTTCATAAAAGCGTTCCGCAAAATGAAAATGGCTTAGAACGGGGTTTTGTTAAACACTGGCTTAACTCTGTTCAAAAACCCGGCCCAATGTGTTGAAGCCCTTTCCACGGACGATTTACGTTTTATATGACGTCACGGCGGCCATGTTGTTGCGCCGAGCTACCATCCCATTCACCACTTTGAAAACGAGAAGGGAAATGGGCCGAGTTACTTTCGCAAAGACTACCGGGACTGTTACAAGAGAAAGGTTAAAATATTGGCCAATAGCAGACCGTCCCGTCCCAGAAACATTTGCGGGACACAATTCGACTCCAGTTCCCGCGAATGGGATTTGAGTTCGTATAGCTGCAAGCAATGTGAAGTAGAGTGTTGTATACTACTGGATTTGCTTATGTTTCTATCCTAGCTCTAAACAACGCCAAAGTATAAGTCGCTTTTCTCAAACTGCACTCACACAACAGGGGTATTTTATTTGAACCCCTTTTGTATCCACAAACTTCAAGCTGGCGAAGAAGTGTCTTTTGTTAAAACGTTCACGGTCATAAGCCTAACAGACGTCGTCCACGAGCATTATAAACCCAGTTTCGGCTCGCCAATTTGCTTTCTGCTTTTTCTTTATCTTGCATTTGTTATGTTTCAGAATCGAATCCAGGAGCTTCAAGCAGATGCTAAAGATATTCTCGAGGAAACGAAGGCGCTGGAAGTTCCTAAGTCTTCCATCCTGTTAGCACAACAACAAATGGAAGATCAACCTGTCGAAGGCTTATAATTTATCATCCCGTAGACGCTGTCACATCTCATAACATTTTATTTGACTATTTTATGAGACTCGGTTCAAGTCTTATTCTACAGTCATGAAAACTGAGCGATCAGCAGTAGTATAAGTTATGTTTATCTGTGCTGTGTAGGATATTCTGCGTAGCCTAGCGCAGTTGTGGCTTAGAGGTCGTTTCCCGCGCTTAGCTGCCGCTGCGAGTATCAGCTCTTAATTCTGATTGGTTCTTTTGGTAGGGGTTAATGGCACAAATATTTAAAAAAAAAACATTCAATGGGATAGATGATTTGTGCGATACTATTCAACCAACATTTTGCGACATTTTATTTCAAAACTAAATGGATCAGTTCGGCCTAACTTACCCAGCATGTGCAATTTCAAATCTGGGCTCGAAACTCGTCCTCTGATAGGAATAAAACGAGGCCGGTCCGATGCTGCCTTTTATAGAATTTCGAAAAGTTTGGTTGAGTGGTTTCATACCCAAAATAAAAACGTATGGGAGGCAAAATTGATTGATCAACCATTGCTTGATTAATCACAGGCGTCACATGCTCACGTTACTAGTGTGTTATGTAAATTAACTTTCTCACAAGAGAGTCGGTGTCGCGTTACAAGCAACCGTTGAGACTTTGTATGAGAAATTAAAATACTGAGGTCTGCGAACGCTAAATATCATTATTCTTACTTATTTTTCTATGAAATAAATAAAGGAGAGTTACCTTTGATGTATTCCTGTGTTTTTTGGTGTGTATTCATTGATTCTTCATAATACGAAGAATGCGACAGGGGTCAAACAATAACAGCCAAAAAAAAAAACGACTAAATCGATGAATTCACACCAAAAAGCACAGGAATACATCAAAGGTAAGTCTCCTTTATTTATTGTAAAGAAAAATAAGTAAGAATAATGATATTTAGGGTTTTTCTCGCTGAATTCTTGCTTGGACAAGTTTGCTCACTTCAATAGTGTCATTCGCGAGGCTATTGACCGATTCTTCCCACTCACACGCACCCGTACTCACCAGGGTGATCGGCCCTGGGTCACACCTAAAATCAGGGCGTGGATCCGTAAAAGACAGATTTTCCTTGCTCGGTATAGGAAAGACTCTCAGTCGTTCAAACAATGGCGCAACAAGGTCCAGCGCGCCATTAAGTCCTGCAAGGAAGCTTATTACAACTTTAAAGTAAAAAATCTGAAGGAGACTCTCGTGGAAAAATGGTGAAAAGAGATAAAAGACCTTTCGGGCGTGTCCGAGAGAGAGAGTTAGTGGCACTCGCAGCTAGTTGACGGCGCCAACGTTACGTCTGTTACGAAGCTGTGTGAATGTATTAACGATTTCTTTGCCAGTCTCACTGCTGGATTCACCCCACTCTCTCCCTCAGACGTGTGGGGCATTTATGTTGACATCGAGGCTACCCCGCGATCTTTTTGTCACTGTGCGCGAAGTCTACATCGCCCTGCGGCAGACAAAAGTCAAGAAACCGTCAGGACCAGATGGCATACCTAATATAGTACTCAAGGAGTTCGCCTTTGAACTCGCGCCACTGATTGCTGATATGTATAATACCTCTTCGTGTGAAGGCGTTGTACCTCCTTCTCTGAAACACGCAATTGTGCCCCCCTGTCTAAACAGATGCCTGTCAAGTCTGTTGGAAACGACATTAGGCCGATCTCCCTGACGACCCAGGTGACGAAAATAATGGAAGGCTTTACTCTCACGAGGTCACTCCCTGGCATTTATGAAGATCTTGATTGTAAACAATTCGCAGCTGCAGGAATGTCAACCCAGCATGCAATTGCATATGTACTCCACCTGGTCCTGGAAGCCTTAGATAGTGGTAACTGTAGTCCAAGACTCTTTTTTGTTTGTCCTTATAGACCATACCATTCTTTTGAGTAAATTACACTCTTGCCTTGTAAGGTGGATTGCTTCTTTCCTCCAAGGTCGTTCACAGTCAGTTCGCATAAGCTCCGATTCTTCTAATATTCGCTCCCTGAATGGAGGTATTCCCCAACGGACTAAACTGGGGCCTGTACTGTTCTCTGTTATGGTCAACGACCTAGTGAGCTCATGGCTTAAGCGCGCAAACTACGTGGATGATCTTACGGTTCTAGAAATCATCCCTAGAAACTCTCCATCATATTTGAATTATATTGTGGATGATATGTAGTGCTTTTCTCACCGCAACAACATGCGCCTTAATCCAGCTAAATGTAAAACCATGACGATTGACTTTCTTGATTATAATAGTTGCACCTGGCGCCCCATCTGTACAGGCGTAGGTGTTATCGAGCGCGTCAAATCCTTTAAACTTCTCGGAGTATATTTCTGAGGATTTTACTTGGGGTGTTCACTGTGACTACATAATCAAAAAAGCCAATCGTCGCCTCTATGCACTTAGAACTCTAAAGAAGTGCGGCGTGCCGACATCAGACCTAATTCCAGTATATTGCTCCCTTATACGGCAGTAATTGAATATGCCTCGGCTGTATTCGCGAATCTGCCAAAGTATCTTTCTGAAGCGTTGGAGGGAATTCAAAAGCGCGCCCCTAAATTAATAATTCTTCCGAATTTACATTATCACGAGGCATTGATACTCAAGTGGCCTGCCGTCTTTAGAAGACCGTAGGGCTGCTGCTTGCGAATCATTTACGCGTAATTTAAAACCATCCAACCTTGTGTTTGGCCTTGCCATGAATGGAAGGGTAACTACAGTTCACTCGTACTCTTTACGAAGCTGCCGGAACTATAATAACAAAATGTGTAAGACAAAAGGATCGTCAGAATTTGTATCTGTGAAATATTTAGATTTTTTGTCATAAGATAAATGTTAATTATGTGTAATTTGCGCACGATCCTGTTATCCAGCTCTTAGCTGCAAGGGGTACTGAATGAACAACTCTGCTCTACTCTACTCTACTCTACTTAATGGCACTTACAGCGTTTTCTGCAAGAAATTAAATGGGCTTTTTAGGGTCCTGGTTTCCGCTAAAAGCGGCCTCGTTCTTACATCTCACCTCCAGTCACAGATGAGATTTACTGCTTATAAAGAGTAACTGAAAACCCGGTAAGCCAACAGACTTTGAAAGTTTTGTAAAGGAGCTGCAGAATTTCTGCGGCATCAGATCAAAAGGGTCTCAAGGACTTACAGATGCATTCTATGGTTGCCAAAAGGTAGAGAAAACGTTCTGGTTTTGTGATTTATTCATAATTAAAAGAAAGTGCGTTTACAGCAGTTAAAAAGGATGCAAAGTTGTAAACTAAGTATAGTGGAACCGAAGTGCCAAGGAACTGGGGAAATTTGTTCGTTAAATCGAGGGTTCGTCATATCGAACACCTCCATTCTGAGGTGATTCCCTGGTTTTGCACTGCGCATCTCTTACTGCGCATAACAAGATGGCCTCCGTAAAAAAGAGCATGTGAAGTAACATTATTAAAATGAAGTTGACCAAAGAGAAACGCTATTGCAATTTTTGCTTGCGGTTGTTTCTTGCCGAGGTGAGACTCAATGTGGCGGGAATGTGCATAACGTAAGCAGTACGCGTGTTGCTGAATTCGACTTCCTCACGGAGAACCTCGATAGTGGATGTTTAATTTGTGCTTATTCACTTTGATTTTCATTTAAACGCTTTCTTTATCACATTGTGTCCTAAATGTGATATCTCGATGTAAATTCTGTAAAAACGGATTTTTTAATACTTTCTTCCCCATTTCGCATACATTCTATTTTGAAACTCGCCCCAGTCCTTTCTCAAAAATCAAGGAAAATGCATTTGGTGCGCACTTTATGCAGCTCTACCGCAAAAACGAGTACGGTGACCCCCATTTTTTATTTCATGATTTTAATAAGGACAGTGCTTCCTTTCAGTGAGAAAAAAATTGGCACAAATCTATGTTCAGTTTTTCGTACAATTTTACTAAATTGTACGGATTGAGCTATCACGTGTGGAATAGCGCGTGTCCAATTTTATTCTACTTTGGAGCGTAAAGTAAAAACAAGGGCATTACAAGGCATTTTTCTGGTACGTAAGTGGATAAACAATACATTAAAGTCAAATTCTGTGCGATACCGCATGCATCATTGAAAAAATCTTTCCTTTTTGTCTAGTTTTGCGCTGCGGGCGGTTTTTGTCAAAGGGTCCTAAATAGCCGTATTTGTCAGCATTGTGACGTCAAAACGAGCACGGTGACCCCCACTTTTTATTATCTTTTTATCATCTTCTTGACTTGTTACATCAGTGTACCAAGTTTCTACAATCTATGTTAGGTTGTTTTACTAGGGAATCACCTTAAAGCTATTTAACGAACTTTCGGAAAAACTACCAAAATGTTCGTTATATCGAGGCATAGTTAATAATTAATTGACCAAACCCAGCATTTCCGAATCTGAAAAATTACTGTAATACCGTAAAATTCCGAAAATAAGCCCCCCCAAAATCGTAACGCAAAAAAAACCTCCGTTAAATCGCCCCTCCGAATATAAGCCACCCGTGGGGCTTGTACCTGGAATTTGCCATCGAAGACAAAGTAAAACAAAGCAAAAATGGTAAATTTCCTTCCCACTACTAAAACGCAAATTTCCCTCCGTTCATTAGCCGCTCCGAATATAAGCCCCCCAGAGGGCCTTTGAAAAATAGAAGCCCCGGGGTTTATTTTTGGAATTTTACGGTAGCATTTTAGAACCGAGCTATACATGGCTACAGCACTAGAAACTCAAGACACATAAATTTTATCCTTGTTGGTCTGTTTGGTATTCACGTTTTATCACATGCTGACATTTATTCGTTATATCATTATATCGAGGTAAATGTTACTTTTCCGCTTGTGGATTGTGTTCGTTATAACGAGGATTTCGTTAAATAGAAGTTCTGTTCCATACATGTTACTGTAATTTTGGTCGGGCTGAGGAAAATCGTTCGTCATACCGAGGTCTTCGTTATATAGAGGTTTGTTAAATCGAGGTTCCACCTTATGTGAACAGGGCACGATTTTGTCAATAGAAGGAGTACCATTTCTGTCAAAAATAGTATATAAAAGGCTAAGGGGTTGGACCTCGGGTCGGAGCCTCCCTCTATAATACTTTGTTGAGTAGCCCTGCCCCCAGAACCTAAAACAATTGACTTGTCCATGTTCCGTCAGCATTAACCTTATAATTGTCTTTCGTGTAATCCATCACGTGATACTTCCTTTTCTCAAGCACGTATTTAAAAAGGTTGTCGTAAAGTGGACTCAGTCGATCAACTCCAGCCAGCTGTGCAATGACACCGTTATAATCTCCCCTTGTTCCTGTACGATGAGCATGGTGTTCAGGCATACCAAGTGAGAGTCTCTCCTGAAAATCTTTTTCTTCATCAGCATTCATCTGATCTTCAGATGGCAAGCTCTTTCGTCCACTTAACACTGATGCAATGTATTGAGCTTGAAGACTAAAACGTGCAAATCCGCAGGAAAGGGAACACACTCCGATGAAAGACAGTGTTGGGTATTTTGTATTAAAAATGGGTTTGTATAAATGAGTCACCCGATTGTTCCTGACCTGAATACTACAGTCATCATGCAGGAATGGAAAAGAAAAAATGTAACCAGTGCACAATAAGATGCAGTCAACTTTCCTCTCTTGTCCATCCTCAAACAGGACTGTTCCATCCACGCTGATAGACATTATTGGCCTTTGTTGTTCCACATTTTCTGGAAGTGTGGAGCAAAGACTTCCTTTATGGCTGAGGTAAACTTTTTCTGCACAGTTTGCTACGTTGAGACAAATATCTACACCAGAAGGCCCAGCACCCAAAATAACCAGATGTTTTCCGGCAAATACTTCAGGATGTCGATAATCATGACTGTGCATAACAACTCCAGGGAAAGACTCCAGACCAGGAATTGCTGGCAAACGAGGAATAGAATAATGTCTGTAGGAAAAACGATTCAAATGAAATTATATGTATTCTTGATAAAAGCCTGTTCCAGGCGTTCAGATAGTGGAGTACGGCATGAAGGCAGAAAGTGGAGTAAAAAATAAGGAGGAGTTAACCGGAGAAAATTAATTTGACCTGTTGGTTGGGACAAATGAAACTGTCCATTATTATTTGTATAAAGGTATCAGAGCCTGTTCACAGGCTACAGAACAGGGTGCACTGTATTCTTTAACCCTTAAAATAAATTACAACAAGCATTACAAACCTTTTTGAAAAGGTGGGGTGTTTCTGCAAAACAAGGATGTATTGTTAAGAACACACATAGTTAATAGAGGGAATGGTTATGAAACCCGACAAAGTTCTTTGTTGTATGTTTTTGTTCTCTTTTTTGGCCTTGACCCTGCACAAAACACAATAGTTGTTTACTCCGTACTGAGGGACTAACCAATAGAAACGTGCTGGTTACGTAATTCATGCATAACGTATGAACGCAAAACAAAAGATTGTGCAGGGTCGTGGACCTTCTAACATAAATCTTGGCATCTTTGTTTGCTCCTTTGATGTTTGCCGGGCTTCATAACCAGTCACCTCCATTAACTATGGAACACATTATACATTAAATTCAACTTACCCATTGCAAACAATAACAGCATTAAAAAGTAAAACTTGAGATTCTTTTGTATCAACATCTGTAACAACAACCTCCCACAGAGGCTGGTGACTGTCTTCACCTATCAATGGACGGACACTGTTTACAACAGAATTCAACTGAATGTATTTGTACAAGTCAAAATGACTGGTATAATCTTCTAAGTATTTGAGAACTTGTTGATGACTCAAGTATGAGCTCCACTCTAAGGGAAATGGAAAATCAGGGAAAGCCATAATTTCTTTGGGCACATTGGTTCTGAAAAGTACATCAAAATTAGAAATACTATCAGTGAAATATATAAAGATGAAATCTATCAGGAAATTGAGTAATTCTAATTTTCAGTGGACAAAAACCTTGTACCAGAATAATATTTAAACAATATCGCATTCTTTTTTTTACATTTTTCAAGGGCTATAGATATAATTAGTTATTTGTGATAAGACCAAAAACTATTTCGCACGGGGGCCCGAGAGAACAACCTCGTTCTCAGGGTTATCACCTACCCACCCTACCCTCTCGCTCCGTAGGGTGGGTAGGAGAGAACCCTGAGAACGAGGTTGCCGAGAAAATAAATGTGAATTTTCACAAGAATTCTGAAAACAGAGCCAAAATTCTAAAATTTTCATGTGTAAGATGTCATTTTGTTAAATTTGACATTTATTTTCTCGGGCTCTCATAAGAAATTTTCTTTGGTATTATTACACACAGCTGATTACTTCTATAGCCCTTAAAAAGTGTAAAAAAGAATGCGATATTGTTTAATTTATTTTGGTACAAGGTTTTTGTCCTCTCAAAATTAAAATTACTCAATTTCCTGATAGATTCCTTCTTAACATGTTTTAAGGTGGTCAGGGAAATTATAAATATTACAATAATATTGATTATCAATCCCGTTGGTTGTATCCAAGTGTGGACACAAGACAAAAAAACATGTTCTAATAGAGTGCCATACATGACGTGTTTTGCCACCAAAGATTTAAAGTTTGACAAACTGTTGCTTTCACAGCATCTTAGGCAGAAGACATTCCAGGAATATGAATGGCAATAGTTTGTTCTGGAAGGAGAAATCACCAATTTGGAAGTATTTGAACTTAGGGTGCAAAGAAAGTCATTTTTACAGCTTGCCATTCGGGTAAGCTGAAGCTAACATTTACTAGCCCAAACATAATTTCAACTATCTGAAAGCGTTTTGATGAGCAGGTTGATTTCACAGTTCTTCTGTAATTTGAATTCCTCAAAAAACTTCACTTGCTCATTGGGCAAGTTAAGAACAGAATTCTCTAGCCCGATAGCAAAATCCACTAGCCCTGGGCTACTGGACACTACTTTCTTTACCGCTGGAACTAGACAAATATCTGTACAAACACAATTGGCATCCTACCATTTATTCTGGAACTCAGCGCAACTTAAAGATTAGTCAGTTATCTGCTTGCAGAACTCACTTTTCTGTAGGTTGTGGGTGCAATGCATGATTTTGACTGTGTTCCATGTGACCATGTGTTTGTCATACATTATTTTCCTCAAAACAATGGATGATGAAACAATTATTAGATTTGATTTTCGTGATACCCGGAAGAATCAAGGTCTTGTTAAGTGGGGATACCAACTTGAAAAGTTATAAGATTTCAAGTTAACAACGTCAAATCTTGCTTGTAAATCAATAAACTTATTCCAGGCTGTAAACGGGCTTAACAGCGAGACTCAGGTCAAACTCTAACTGACCACTCCCTGAAAATCTGAACAACTGGCTTCTATACCAATAGGCTAAATTACCAGCCACTGTTTGGGAAAATGAAGCCACACTCATCCCTCCTCTCTTTGCAGAGGATCAAAGAATGCACCTGGGAGATGATGGAAATCAAGGGTACTATATCAAAGTTATAGACTATTATTTGCACGATTAGTAACCAAAAAAAGTTCAGTTCATGTGACTCACTAATGGAGTCACACATCTTCTGATATCTCATTTAAGTCAATTAGTTCCCTCTGCTTTTTTAACTGCAAATCCTTTTTTATACTACGCGAGACATGTCTGTTTATGCATCGGTTACAACGGTTGACTAAAATGTTGGGTAAACAAATTCAGACTCATCGATGTCCATTTCTCAGGCCTATATCAGAAGCACATCTGTGCATGTCTGTGGATTTACTGCTGAACAAAACATCTGTTGAATATTCAAACTGGACCTCTGTGGGGCACAGCGGGCTGCCGGGCCATAGGCTGTAGGTCTCCGGGCCTCTTTTTAGTAAAACTCTCAGTAACTGTTATCAGCCTTGGCCATTGGCTCAGCTGATAACACTCCCCTCCACCTTGATTATAATTCCGGATATAACAAAAACCTCATCCAATAATTGTTTATCATTAGAAACAACTCTTTACGGTGCAACCACTGGAACTGGCACACTTGGAAAAAGATTATCTAATCACAATGTTTTTTGAAAACAAAAGATTCTGAAGTTTTTTTTTTTGCAAACAGGCCAATAAACTATGCAACCATTGAAGACTTAAAACTGTTTGAATTTACCTGACCTCTCAGGAAACAACACTCAAATTCATGAATGTTACTAGTCCGTTTGCAAAAATCTTGAGAATCTTTTGTTTTCAAAAAACGTTTTGATTGTTTGATATTCTTTCAAGTGCCCCTGTTAAGGTTCGAGTAGTTGCACTGTAAGCAACTCAAGCAAACTTAACAAATGCTGCTGCTTGTGTCATTTACAAACAAAGAGACTGCCTGGATAAACCAGACAAGGATGATGACAATGATAGTGATATGATATTATAGATGATGAGAGCCTAGGTTTTATAGATTAAGAAGAACCTGGTCCTGCATGATTTGGATGAATCAGCAGAGTTGGAGTATTGTGAGATAGAAGTGAAAGAAGATCAATGGGACTACTAAAAACATCCTGTAATTGCTGATTAATAAGGCACTTCACTGAAGCCGGTCAGCCGTGAAAAAAGGCAGTAACAATGATGGCGAGATTCATGCACAGGCATGAAACGAAGTGTACAAAACACCAAAAAGACTGAGCACACTATCACAGGGTACAGAGGAGATGTGTTTGTTGTTAGAACATCAAAACCCGTCGAAAAGTTATTTTGATCGCGTTACAGTTTCGTTACACATTCTATTGACCGCAAACCAAGAGACTGAGGGCTCGCAAGATCGGCTTACAGTATAAAATACGGAAAGGGAGGAAACAAATTTGGGGCCGATTTTCGAATCCCTGAAACTCAAATGGAATTGAATGAAATCGCCTGATTTTACTAACCTGATCTAGAATTCTTATGTATTTGCCAAATAATGTAGGAAAACGGCATAAAAAAGCGTTCAAATTCATTTTCGGCGACCGAAATTTACGGTTTCGAGATAGCGCTTTCGTTCGCTGTGCACCTCAACCGATGGTGACGGAAATGACGTAGTAAAGTGAATGTACTCGAGATCGGAGCAATAAGAGGGGATGGTAAGCCTACACGACTTTAATGTCATGCCAAAATGCTGCTTGTTCCAATAAAGTTTTTTTCCTCTGCTGGGTAAGTAGTGATAGTGGTTAATATAACCCAGAGCCAATCAGAATCGAGTATTTAGGTCACGTGACAGGTTTCAGCCAATCAGAATCCAGCATTTTCATGACGTCATAAATGTCCTGAAAATGAGATGGTACTTCATGTAAGAGTCACGAAAAATCCCAGTGAGTGATGCGATTGCTGTGACGTCATGACAGCTGAGTGCTGATTGGCTACTGGCAGAACAATTTATGACGTCACACTCTATGACGTCACACTCTATGACGTCAAACGGTCACGTGACCTTGGCGACTACCAATCAGAAAGCAGCAACGCTTAACTGCTTCCCAGACCCCGGAAGTGACACGGAAGTGACTCCCCAGACTCCCGGAAGTGACCGCGCGACCGGAAGTGACTCCCCAGACCCCCGGAAATGACCGCGCGACCGGAAGTCAAGAAATCACACACTGTATTGCCAATAAAAATCACTTGGTTGGTTTTAATACAATGTTACGATGTCATGCCTTGATTACAAGCGGGACATGTGTGACCTCCTAGTAACGTCACGCCCATTTTGTTTTAAAAAGTTTACAAAGTCAGCCCAAAAAATCACCTGGAAAAGCGGTGGTTTGGTACCCATCGCCGGTACTGGTTAGAAAGTTCTTGCTTGGTTGGAGCAGAGTGTGATCAGTCAGATGGACTCGGTTCGCAGATTCGATTCCAGTCAAGAACTCTTTTACACATTTTCTCGATCGGGTTCTGTTAACACTCGGTACCCAAAGGGGTAGGTCATTTTTGTGTCACGATCAATGACCCGCTTGTCAAAAACCATTTTGTATTGTTTGGTCTGATTCACAAGCTTGATGGTCTTGTGGGTTGTGTCTCTTTTGAAATAATTAGGATTGGTCACTTTGATGACACGCCTCTCTTCCTGGGGATCCTCGATTTCCGCTAAAATGTTCGCTTTCATGGTGTTAAAATTCAACACTTGTTTTCCACGTACATTCAGGGTGAACCCTCTTACTTTGCATTCGGTTTTGCCCTGGCGGGTTTTGTACCCATAGTTTTTAGCTCCTCCCGACACAAACTCCGTAATCACATCCCCTTGTAATTCGTCAGTCATCTCTCCAAGGTAGTCCCCTATGGCAATAGAGGTCTGTCCAGGTTTCCACCGATAGATAACCGAATCGATGTCGTAATACAAGACCTGCTTTCCCAACGTATCCAAGGCTTCGTACAGTTTGAGTCGGGCCCACGCAGTTGTGAGGCAAGCGATGAAAATGTTTGTCTTTGCACTGGGCACAACATTGTCTTCGACTTCGGTAAATACCGCTTCGAGGACATCTTCCGTGCATATGCGCAGATTTTTTAATGAAAAATTCGACGAGAACAAATAGGGGTACAGTTGTGAGGGTTGCGTGATCGTCACGGTCTTTGGCTTATTCGGCTTTTCCCCAAACTTCCCCCAAAAACTGTTCAGCATTAATTTCGCGGTCGTTCGTTTGCCTGGATTTTTCTCAATCTTGTCGGGGTCTAATTGAATGTTCTCATGTCGGCGATAATTCGCAATGTAATCTTGACGTTTTTCAGGGTCATCTGCCACTTCCGCAGGCCAACCGCTCGCTTCTTGTTTCAATTTGAGAAACGTGTTGACATATTGTGCAAACAATCCCTCTCGTCTCTGGTTTGGTCCAAAATGCCACACTTCATATATCTTAACTACTCTGTACCCCTTTTCGACGGCTTTCTGGATTTCAGGCGTAGCCCATGTTCCTCTTAAGGTACGTTCTTCGTACGTGTGGCAGCAAGTACTACTTCTCAACAGCATAGGATTCATTTGCTCAATCTGCACGCACGCACTGCAAAGTGGGAAGATGAGCTTATTCCCACTCCGGACGGGCAGGACTGGGTGAAAGAGATGTGAGGGTGGAATAATGTCCACGGTCGCCAGTCCAAAATAGTCATTGATGTCTTGATTGCGTGGGTTGGTGAAGATAGAGGGATGTCCGATGGGGTAAACACAATTCTTGTTTACCCAGGGGTAGAGGGAGGTAAAATCCACATAACGTATCTCCTCCCCCTCCCCTGCCACCGCATGGAGGGCCACCGCCCCAGTCCTGCCCCCAAAGAATGCCTGTCGAGGTTCGAGTGGTTCCACCAATTTTAGGTCGGATATGAAGTTCTTGACAAAAGGATTGGTCTTGCATAAATCATCCCATTGGCATTCCCACATCAAAAGTACCATCTCATTTTCAGGACATTTATGACGTCATGAAAATGCTGGATTCTGATTGGCTGAAACCTGTCACGTGACCTAAATACTCGATTCTGATTGGCTCTGGGTTATATTAACCACTATCACTACTTGGGTAGATTATGCTCTGGAAAGTTCTACATTTTCACTGAGCAAATGTGATTTTAGCCGCATGTTTCACACTGAGAGGTCACGACACACATATCGATTTACTGTGGTTATTGTTTCTGGTCGGCAGGATTTGCCCTATGCAAGCGTATTTTCTTTGAGCTCTTTTGAGGCGTGAAGCTTTTTATTACGGCTGAATAAGGTTCCAATTTTCTCCAAAGTGCCTTCTGGATCTGAATAACTAAGCGATTTTCTTTAGTCCGTGAAGGTAATGTTTTTCTGCAATGCTGTATCACGCTGGGCCCAGCTGGTTAGTTTTGTTTGGAGAATGTTAATTACGGATAGTGATTTACAGGTCGTGTGTACTCTTGCAATAAAACGTGTCACTGAGTAGAGCGGAGGTACAAGGCAACTGTAATATCATCACGACTGTGCCATCCTTCTGTGGTCCTAACAGTGTTACCTCTTGCGTCTTTGGCTATGCGTTTTGCGACTACTAGGAAAAAATTGCACAAGCGAAACCTGCTTTACATCGAAGACCAATCTTGAAAGATCTTCACTTCAATTAAAACTCTGTTGCCTTTGCATAGATCTCTGAGATCTTTAAAATTCCCTCCGCAGCTGATGTTTTGATTCTCGAGTTGCCATTGCGTTTCCGGTCTCATTCACTTCCGTCACCGAGTGATGCGCTTCACAGCGAACGAAATCACGTGGTACAAGTTTCCTCCCTTGTCCTTTTTTTCCTTGGCACTTCGTGCCTCGGTCGCCCTTCGGGCGACGTTCCGTGCGCCAGGGAGGATATGACTTGCGGTTATTGATTTCCAAAATGGTGAACAACAAAGTCGATCTGGGTCAGATAAGAGGAAGATCCGATTGGGCTAATTAATCGTGCTAAGCGACAGGTATAGACATTTTGCAAGGTGAATTGAAAATTCATTTATTCACACGAAACTCCTCTGGACCCTGTGCACTATTCCAAAGCAGAATCGACTTTATACAAGGAAACCCACAAATATTATGCACAGGCTTAAATAGACCTCTTTAGCTTGTAAACATTTTCCCAAAGAAGGGCCCAAGGGAATTTGACCCTTTGTCTCTTCATAAATCATGCGTACATATGCACGTGAATAAGAAGAAGTTTGGCAAGAAACAGTTTTCTAGAGTGTTATAAAATGAAACATACCAACTTAAGAAGTCTATTGGATTGCTAAGGACTATATGAAGACCCGCTTCTACGCAGCCTGCTTAAAACAGGTTACGTAATGGCGTCCGATTCGACAAGATCGTCCACCCGGTTATGGTACTTTACTGTACCAGAAAACTGAACACTAAGTGTGTATCAATAGAAATGACACGCTATACCTGAGATTTCTGTAAATGGTGGAGTGAACAGGAATCCCACGTTCGTCAATGCCTGTATTTTCGCTGTAAACCCAGATTCCGCC